TGGCGGTGGGGAGTAGGGTGTGAGCCGGAATCAGAGGAGTATCCACCCACTGGTTTGGCGACGACGAGTTTCAGCTTTCCTGTGACTGACAGCCGGAAAGGAGGGATAGCCGGGAAATTAAGGGAAAGACAGAGGGGGCGGAACTCTGTGTCCATCCTGCTTTCAAAAACATTTAGACCCTCGCCCCTCCCCTGAGGGCCATATGCGTGCACTAAATTAGTCAAATGGAGTAGTTTTTTATGTAATTTCCCTTTGTGATTTCCGGAAAACACAGGAAAATTTGCCCAAGGCAAGCAGCACAGAGATAAAATGAAATTACCATCGTCCCCAGTTTTGCACCTCATGACCACCGCTGTTTCCACTTTTTAATGCTTTAATGAAAATTCATGTATTTTGATTTATAAAATTGAATTTTAATTCTTTTTTAAGTTGGTAAATTCTACGTTTATAAATTAGATTACACTTTTACATAAAAATCTTGTTAATCTTTTCAGTTTCTTTTTGTTATCGCACAACTTTTTAAGGAAGTTACTTTTAGAGATTTAAATTTTGTAGTATATATATCAAATTCTTGTATTATTAAAATGCCCTTTGAGTGAATTCTGCTCAAAATTACATCGCAATCTGTTCACTTTAATGGAAAGAATGAAAAATGAATATATACTCTTCATGTATAAGGAGCACACTTTATTCCTATGTATGTGTATGTGGATGTTTGCCTTGGCCGGCTGCCCAAACACGAGCTTGGAAGCCATGGAGTGCGTCTATGGCAAAAGCGTAAAGAATATAAAAAATGGGAAAAATGAAAAACTTCAATCAATGCAAAGGACGCATTGGGGCCAAAAGGTCAACGCCTCAATGGCAAATATTTATTTAAACAAGAGTTAAGTAAAAAAAAACATATAGTACCCACACGCGCGTGCAGAAAAAAAAGAGAAATATCATATTAAAAATTTACCCTGACCAAAGGCGTGCCCTGGGATTTGATTAAAGCATTTTTGCATGGGCCTACCTTTGGGCATTAATTTTTAATTTTCATTACAAAGAACGCTGCAGTTCGTCTCCATTTTCGCCTCTGTCTCTGCCATCGAGACTTGGCAATTATCTGGCGAAGCGGAAATGCTGAAACGCCGCTCTGTGGAGCGGGACAAATAAATTAGGGCAATTATATTGAATTGTCTGATTGATTTCTCTTGCATGCACGAGCCAACTGCCTTTTGCCGGCCTAATTGCTGTTTTTTCTGCCCGATGTTGTGGGCGATGCTCTGCATTAATATATGTTTTTTCATAAGACGCAGCCTGCTGATGTAATAAACGCATAAAGGATATTAATGAGCTGCTGTTTGCTTATCCTCTCCCCCCACCCACTCTCTCGGCACTCACCCGATTTGCTTTTATTTCAGCTGAAAAGGCAACTAATTGCTTACTTACACACACACTCCTGCTCCCAGGCACACGCATGGGGGAAGTCGAGACAGAGAACTTATTGCTCATGCTGGCAGGCTCTGTTCTCGCATATTTCACAAATTGCGCATACGACATGTTAAACGTCTCGCACGCACACAACGCGCCAAACACACGCTCCAAGTCACGGCCAAGTCAGCGCCGAGCGCATTATCAAGCCATAGTGGGCAGGTTGCCTTTGCTTCCGCCGCTCTCTGGCTCCCTTTGTCATAATTCAACTTTTATTTATACACACAGACAGGAATACTGGGAACAAATACTCCGCAAGTCGAGATTTTCTTCGTGACTTTGACAATAGGAATCAGAGTTAGAGGATTTCAAAGAATAAGATTTTCTTTGAAGGAAAGTGCAATCAAAGGTTAAATTTGATTAGAGAAAGAGCTGGAGGAAAATCTGTAAAGATTGGATTGCTTTTACGTTCCCAGAGTTTATTGTTTGTAATTTATTATTTTCTTAAAAAGAAAATTTAATATTTTTGAAATAATTTATGTATTATTAACAACCTTGTGGATATATAAGTTTTTCTTCTAATGTAAGACATTTCCATTTCCCTCAGTGCATACACATGGGCACACACTCTGGGCCACTGAAATGTTCTTTGAGTGGCGCTAAAAGTATGCCGCATGGTGTAATAACACGCGTTGACGCCGAGGAGTTGGCGCTTCTGTCGCAGCTCCTGCTCCTGCTCCTTGAGCTGCCGCTTCTGTTACTGCTGCTACGGTGACAGTGACAGCGGCGGTGCTTACGCTTGTCAGACGCATGCTTATGATATATCACACAGGCATGTGGGACACACACTCATTCGCATTCGCATCCCCAACCCATCCACGTCCGCGAAGCAAGGAGCAAGGAGCGAGTGGCTGGTGCCCTAAAGCCCGCTCCCAGCTGCCCGATAAGAGGTTGTCAGTTAAATTCACACTGCGTCTATCTGTCGCCTGCATGCGCTGACTGACTGCAGCTGAATTTATATAGTATTTTATATTATTTTATTTTGAAATTTATGCCAGCTGCCAGGGCCCGCTTATGCCGGGAGTTATGCGTCTTTGACTTTATTGAGCATGCGAATTGCACAATGCATGGGCCGGGAGGGAGAGAAGACTCCCATCAGCAGTCCCATTCCCACACTCAATCCCCTCCATTACCATATGGGAATGTTCTTTGGGCTTTTATGCGGCGTTAAATCTTGAGGAAATTGTGTCACATTATGATGAACATTTATGGCAAAGTTGAGCATTTGCCCATAAATTTGTGAGCCTTGATGACGGCAGCCAGAGCTGCAAAGGAGTGGGTTCTGTGAGTGGGCCTAACGATGATGGAGTGGCTGCGGTAATTTGACAAGGCTAAAATCTTGGGAGAGCCGGGTGAGATAGGTGGCCACCTGGAGGAGCACCTGACCGAGGAAAGCAATCAATAGGCAAATAAGCAGGCAGACATTGACCATTGCCTGCGGCTGGCAGCTACCAAAATAGACTGCAGATCAGCCTCGGATCTAGTGGGATTTGGGCTGAAATTCAATTGGGCAAACAGTGTTATTGCCGGCACAGCAAACCACACACTCACTCAATTCCCTGTAATTTGGACAGCCAATTCTTCTGACCGTAAATGCCAACTAAGTTGGCCTAACTGGAGCTTTAAGGACATATCAATAGTTGCCTATAGTTACAGGCAACTTGGCAGCGGCAGCAGCAGCAGAAATAAAAACAACAACAGAAACGGAAACTGAAATAAACTTTTGCCGGTCCCTAGGACCGCTCTTCTTTCATTCGCCTTCTCGTGTTTCGTGCTCGCATTGGCAAACTTTTTTAATTAGCAAATCTTCCACTTGGTGTCATTAAAGTTCAAGCCGGAACAGCACAATGCAACTGCGGAGCAGCAGCAGACCAGGGCCGCTCCTCGTTCCGTTCCTCCAGTTAATTAATCAGCAATAAAATATGCTAACCGAATGACACAGGGCGAAAGGCAGCAGCAGCTGACTCCGACACCGCCTCAGACTATATAGGCTGCTATATATACGCCTTGGAGCAGACAGATGTACGAACATGCGTGGCTTGTCGGAAATTTACTAATGAGCAAAGTTTGACTGTCAATAGCCCCAGAGTCGAGTCCCCCTGCCCTGTGCTCCGAGCTCACCCTTGTTAATTTATGTTCAGGTAACAAGAAAGGGAGTATAGGAGACTCGAGTGGGAGTAGGGGGTGCCATACCCGAGAACAACACACACACTCACTCTTCCCGTCAGTATTTCAAGTTATTATCTTTTAATCAAAAGGCATCGTAAAAATGTATGAACTTTTTGTGAGAGCCTTACACATATTTTATTTATTTACACTTCTTGGCAGGCGCAATAATTTCGCAAGCATGAGGGCCTACACCCAGAAAAAAATGCCAACAAGCTAAAAATAACGTTGGCCTCAATGTCTTTTAATAAGCAGAGTATGGGTTAATTTCTTCCTGAGGCAGAAACTTGTAGAAAAATATAATTATAAAGTTTGGGGTATCTTGATTGCAAGTTGCAACGAATTAAGTCAGACCTCTTTCCTTGTATTAATTACCTTTTAAATCAAGAGAAACCCCTTTTCTTCCAGTGAAAGCTGCATTTGCTCATTAAAATGAGCCTGACACACATAAACACACGCAGAAGGAGCCAAGTTAACGCTCGGTTGCCAATACAAAATGTTTCATAATTATGCGTGCTCCAGCTTTCTGGGTTAAGGGCAACGGTACGATGGTCGTCTTCACTCCATTTATGCGGCAGCATTAACCCAACGACCCACTAAGCAGGACGCACGGGCGGTTTTCCATCGGGGAGGGGTTGAAAAGCGGGGTTGGCTTATCAATTTTGATGCGTTGTTTAATTGTCGACACTCGTGTTGCCAAAACACGCAATTAAAGGGCGCAGCAGCAACATTTGGCTAGGTGATAAAGCGGCACTCATCGAGGGCTCGCTTTTATCGGCCAACAGCCGGGGTTAAGGAGCCGGCCGTCGATGGGGGTGGGAAGGTCATGCCTCAGCTGCGACCGAGCACATAAATCTACTGCCTTAATTACGCGTCTCACATTGAAACGCGCCATTAATCACACTTCATCGATGCGATGGCCACATAAAACAACCAATTTCGAGGAGTGCGCAGGCAAAGGGCATTCTCCCCTTGCATCCCACTCCCTTCGGAATCTTTTAGGCCCCTGATTCGACTCCTGGCAGACCTACCCTTTTTCGGCCAGCGCTTTATGAGTTCAATTTGGCTTTGCTCGTGTCCGTCAGTGAATAAACATTTTATTACCACTTTTCATATTTCTGCCTGCTAGCGGTTACACCAGAAAGATAAATATTCCTTTAACATTTTTATTAATATTTTTTTAATATAGCTTTTATATGAAAATATTAATTACATATATTTACCTGGACTCTGTATTTTTTGAAGCGTAAACTGACAATTTTTATTTCAGGAGCTTTGAGGTTGATTTAAATTTGTTTTCTGTGTAGCCCAAAAACAATCAGCTCTTACTCATGTTCCGACATTTGCTTTTCTATTCACAGGATTCCACAACCGCCAATCTGCCGAAAAAAGGAATGCCATAAAAGGGCAAATAAACATGTAAAAGCACATTAAACGATGCTGCCGACTTGATCTGAGTCTGAGACCCACGGACATGCATTCATTGGTGAATGTCTGGTGAAATGCTTCTTTTATGGGCGCAGAGTACATTGGCGCTTCATTAAAGCCAAAGGCAGAAGCGGAAGCGGAAATAGCCTCGCGGCCATTACAAGGAGACGCGTGTTTATTGGCGCCAGGACACACGCGCTCAACTGCAGTTTCTGCAACATTCGGTACTCCTTTTGCACTTCTCTGCGTTTCTTTGACACTCCGGTCAAATTGAAGTTTGCCACATAAATGACGAGACGTCCTCGCGTTTGGCACAACGCACCGCAAGCACAACAAAATGACAGCCATGCAGCTTTTAATAACAGCAACGACAAGGACAACAGCAGGAGTAGCAATCGAAATGGGATCCGAGACCGAAGCGGCAACCATGCAAAGGACATACCGGCAGGAGCAGCCCGACAACACACACCGAAAATCACGGACGAGATGCCCGGACAATGGGAAAGCGATTTGGGCTGTCGGCTTGGCGCTGGCCCTGCTCACTTGCCTGCAGCTGAAAGCAGTTTCCGCGGACGAAGAGTCACAGGATTTTCAAAGGAACAGTGAGTACAAGCCAGCAACTGTATTACGTGCAATAACAATAACAGCTAACGATTGCCAGAAGCGGGAATCGCCAAAACCCAGTTACTCCGCCCGTAACGAGCTGGTGGTTTCCCCTCAAATTATTGGGGGGAAGTCCTACTCGAAATGGCGCCCGCTCCTCGAAATATCCTCAGTCAAGGGGGACTGTTTAAAATTCAGGATTATATTCGCTAAATCGGGAATGAAACGTTTATAAACAGAGCCACAGAGGGGTTATTTGTATTCATATCAAAATTGCAATGTGTGGGGTTTTGATTGTATAATGTTAAATTATGGATTTGGGATTTGGAATAAATGATTTATTTGTAGAAACTTTAAGTTAAATTTTAGGAAATTAATATGTTTTTTAGTAAAAGAATTCAATTTAAATATTATTTTCAAAGAGCTAAAAGGGTTGCACAATTTATTTAAGCTAGATTATGACTCAAATGGTGATAGATTATTTATCCTTAGACAAACACCCGTAGATATCTGAGTACTTATCCTAAGAGCGGGCCAATCATGATGCAAGATGTTCCTGAATTTCGATTACTTGGTTCCCTTAAGCTTGAATTTCATTTTCTGCTCCGGCCAACACCTGTTCACAATCCCACCAAGCTGACCACTTGATTCGATCATCGAAATGTAAATCCGCAGCAAACTATGCCAAGGGGTCATCCCATTTTCGCTCACGTCTGCACAAAGCGTCCATCTTGCTGGAGCATTTTGTGCAAACTTGCAAATCATGCGACGACTGCCAAAAATCCTTATCAATGTGCGTTAGATAAAACGTGCAGAAGTCTTATACTTTTTTTCTTTCCCTGGCTTGGCTTCCTTTTTTTTCGCTTTTGGCACATTTTTCAAAACGAACAGAAAACTTGCAAGCCATGGTTCGAGAGCGTCAGCACTTTTGGCCAAACAACTTTATAATTTGCGAGGTCGAGGATGTGTCGGGTCTGGCTTTCGATCCAAGCAGCGTCAGGGTGCCTGCTGCTTTTTACGAGCATCTCCTTCGCCGCTTGCCTGTTGTGAGTAGTTTGGTGTACGACGAATGTGTGCAGTGGCCAACGGCAACGGCAACGGCGAAGGCAACCTTGGGGCAAATCTCATTTCCCGAGCGTCTGGCACACCGCCTCCCTATACTCCCCTTCAGCGCCTCAAATGGGGGGGGGCCAGTCGACAAAAACAAATCATAATTCGGCATCGACATCAGCATATTTTCCTTTTGGGGTCGTCTGCGTGTCGGCTTCCTTTGTCGAACCGCCCGCCATATCCCGGCGATGCTGCTGGGGCCTTAAATTTATGACAGGATTTGCCGAAATCGAGACACATTTTCCAGTATTTTCTATTCCGTCGCTGTTTGTCGTCGAGCCCATCGATGCATGGGATTTTGTAGTAAATTGAATTTCGATGCCTGGATTTAGACATTTTCTGGCTAGGTCTGGGTGCGGGCGTCGTCATGCCCGTTTGGCTTTTGTCTGAGCATCCCGGCATTAAATTTAATTACGTTTGCCGCTTTATTAGCGGCAATCCTTAGCTGGCTCAGCTTCAGCTCCAGTTTCAGCTCTTAGCTTTTAGCTTGGAATTTGCATGGCAATTGAAGACGCTTTTCCCGGGCCCTCGAGTGAGTGGGCTATTGATCCGGCAAAGGAATTTCGGCATGTATCGGGACTTTTCCAGCATATTCGCCAAAAGCACACACACTGTGTGGTGGTGACGCCTTAAGTGGAATCCGAATGTGCTGTATATCGTTGGCACATAAACAACTCACACAGTACATCGCATCGCATGTCGGGGGGAACCAGCCAGGAGATATGGCTTCCGTTTGTCGCATGAATATTTTCATCATAATCGCCGCTATTTTTATGTTTCTCCTGACGCTACAGTCACAAATACACTGAGAGAAAATGTCACCAAAATTTGTTGTCAATTGAATTTTATTGTAATTTTAATGGTTTTTTAACGGGGTTCAAACGGGTGTTAAATTTATAGTCTTCTCAAGCTCGTTTTTATCTTAGTTTGTAGATTTCTAACTTCTATTTTGTAATATTTTTTCTCTCTGTACAGAAAGACTAGCATTTTAGTATTAGGGGGTTTATTTGCCGGCTGTTGTGTGTTGTATGCAAATCTCTTGCTGTGCTCCTGCTGCTTTTGGCTCTGCTCTGGCCTTGGCTTTGCTTTGATGGGCAATCAACACGCTCGCAGGAAATATTCATATACGAGTTTATATTGCGGAGCCACCACCCAAGGACAAGGGCGGCCGGTGGGCGTGGCGCTTTAGATCACAGGCGAGTGCGGCGTCACTAAGCGCACATTCGATTGCAATGAAAACATTCACAACAGCACTCCAGTTCACTCTGCACTCCACTCCACATTCCTTACTCGCCTCATCAGCGCATCGTTTGTGTTGTAAATTGATTTTTTGTTAATTTTTATGAACTTCAAAGGAAACGCGAAGCCAGAAGGGTGCACATCGGAGCAGCACATGTGTGCACCACCATCTAGCATCCCGAGGAAGCGAGGAAAAATTTCACAAATATAAATTTCCATATATATTTTATTTATAAACACGCGCGCGCGTTCGCAGTGTCAAAACAGCATCATAAGCGCTGCTGCAAGGCGGTCAGAATGGATGCCCCGCCGAATGGGGAAACTGATGGGCAGGGGTGGGCCCAGTAGGAGCGGGAGAAGCGCCACAAGTCAAGTGCAACATCGGCGCTGCCAAATGAAAATTTCGTTGGATTTTGTATCTCTGAAGTTGCGACGCGTCGCACCGAGATGCAAAGTTCAATTTCACATGTGGAAAGTAACAGTGGAAAAAAAGGGGGGGCCGCGAGCACAAAAATACAACGGAGGAAGCACATGTCACACAGCAGCGCGGCGTACGTGTGTGCGGTGGAAATGGGTAGGGAAATGGGGAAAACAGGGGAACACCCGGGCGGAAGAGGGGCCTGCGATGTACGAGCAACTGGCTTGACAGACGGCAGCGACACCGGAGTGGAAAATAAATGGATGCAGCGGCAAAAGTGGGGGCAGGCAGCTCTGCGATAGATGGAATGCCAGGGAATATCAGGGAAGAAGAATGTCCAGACGAGTAAAACACTATGTATGGCCGCCATGCAACTCAAGGTAGTAGCTCACCCTCACAGACATAATCCGAATTCCAGTGATCCAGGAAGGTTTCCAAGTTCCTTGGATATTATTCACCTTTCCCGGCCTGCAGTACCTGTGGCCACACCCAGTTACAATTTAGGATTTCTGCAGTTATGTGCCAACTATGTAGCAAACACAAAATAAAATACAGAAATCCCAAAGTTATAAATGCAAGAAATTCAATTGGGAAACTAAAATGTATTTCCAAGTTTGTTGTTTAATTTCTTCTTGCAGACTTGTTCGCTTTAAAGTTCGATATACATAAAAGCCATATTAATTTCTTAACTTTTTGGTACTCCACAAGAGAATTTTCTATTTCAACTTTCACTTTCTGGTAAGAACTATTTCCATTGTCCGCACCAATAATGGTTTCATTCAGATACGTCTTCCGCCTTAAAGAGCCGAAAAGTAAGACATTTCGAATCCGAAAAGTGCAGGCCAGCGGATCGATATGCCGACATTATATTGGAGGAAACTTTCCCTGAAACTACCAGTCATCGGCATTGTTCGCCTCAACAATGGCGAGGCGAGTGGTCCGAGATGGAGATAGAGACATGTGTAGTATCTGGATCTGAAGACAATGACAATTCCCGGGGAGAATCACTCCTGCTACTCCCCCTCCCCGTTCCTTTCTGCATGTTGTTCGCGCACATTTCCCATTTTCTCCGGTCTTAATTTTCTTTTGCACTCGCCGTGGCATATCTCCCCCCCGGACACAGAGTGTTTCTCATAAATATTATTGCATTTTCGCATCTCCTGCTGTTGTTTATGAACTGCATTTCCCCGCCACTCGGCCATGTGCTGGCATCCACTACGCCCCCACCGCCCACTTTTTCCGCCCCTGAAAAGCTTTCAGCCCCAGTTGATTCCGACACAACTCGAACAACTTGAACTGGCCGCAACAAAAGCGCTGGCAATGGCCACTTCCTGTTTAGCGCGAAATTTCAATTATGAGCAAACATGACCACGCCCCCGCCTCCATCTGACTCTCTCTCACTCACCACAAAAATGGGGATGCGGGAGGTTGGAGAATAGATAAAGTAATATGCACAAGTTTCCGTTTTCTTTTTTAAACAGAAGAAATCACTTTTGCCCTATTTTCATGGACAGCGGGGCGAGCACTTTTGCAGCTGTTTCATTTTCATTTCTGTTTGGGAAAAACGAATCGGTTTTTCCGAACACACTAAGAATGAAATTGGCATATTTCATAAGATCAGAAAAGGTATTAAAAGTTGTCAAAACTATTTTCCTTTTAATGAATATTTATTTATATATTTATGTTAGAGGTTTAACCTTGATGATGATGGTTTGGTTTTAGCATTTTTCAGATTTAAGAAAGAGCAATAAAATAATTCACACTTTTTATAAGTTTGCATTAGTAATTTTTAATTGCATTATTAAAATAACATTCGAAATAGTTTTCAAGAGTCCATCTCGAAATACTCTTTATTTCTCAATGTGTACTGATATGTGGGTGTTTTCGCAGATATAAGTTACTGCGCCCGCCGACTACTCAAACGTGACTGGCCAAACTTTTTCAATAAACTTTAACAAGAAAACATTAAAAAGCCACAACGTTGGCGCATTTCCATTTTCCGGCGAGAAGTCAAAGCTTCAACTCCATAAACGCGGCAAATAGTTGTGTGAAAAGGCTGCCCGGATCCTCTTTGTGCCTTTCCCACCGACTTCGCATATAAATTTCAAATAAAAAGCAAATCTACGGAACTTCTTCTTGGCCAGCTTCGGTGTCAGCTGGTGCTGGTTCTCCTGCTGCTCCTGCTGCTCCAGTTACTGCTCCTGCTCCTGCTTCTTTTATCATCGTGGGTTC